CTCTCTCATCTCTCCCTCTCTGTCCCCCTGCTCCTCTCTCCATCTCACGTAAGTGTGCTATCTATGACCCCTGATCTGTGCTGGCAGATGGGGAGTGAGGCAGGAGAAGGGGAGCCTGGGTCATTCTGAGGAGCCCTAGGACCCCCTGTGGGAAGAGCCCCCATGTTCCCCAAGTGCAGCAGGGAGACCCGTTAGAACAAGAAGTGTGGCGCAGGAGCTGCCTCAGTCTCTTAGCAGCTTCAGACTCTGGAAGACAAAACTGAACTTGCCAGAACTGTAGGAAACCTCAGCCCCCAACAGACAGGGCTCCCCACTCGCTCACAGAGCAGACGCAGGAGTTAAGGGTCTGTAAATCCAGCCCCAGGAAGGAGTCCCTGGACCAGCTCCTTTCTGGAATCTGGGTGTGCCCCCAGAGAAGGCAGGGGCTCGAGGGAGTGCAGACCCCAACCTGGGTGCCCCAGGCAGCCACTGGCCTCTTGGGGAACCCAGAAGCAGACAGGGTTTCTGTCAGCTCTCATCAAGGAGAAGGATGGTGCCCCAGAATAAAAACCATTTTGGAGACTCCAAAGTATTTAATCTGAGTCTTTTTTTTCTCCATTGGAAATAGGCTTTTAAAGCTAATTTCTCAGGCCTGGCCCAGTGGCATAGTGGTTAAGTTTGCACACTCCACTTCGGTGGCCCAGGGTTCACAGGTTTGGATCCCAGGTGTGGCCCTACACACCGTTCATCAAGCCATGCTTGATGCTTGTATGCGGCGTCCCACATACAAAATAGAGGAAGATTGGCACAGATGTTAGCTCAGGGCTAATCTTCCTCGCCAAAAAAACCCCAAGAAGCTAATTTCTCTCTCTCTGAGCGGCAGGGTTCCCTCCTCCCTGAGGCCTGCCCCAGGGCCTGGTCCAGCCTCTTCTTCTTCCTTCTCTGGCAATTTCACAGTTTCATAGCAAAGCGCCTCTCCCCTCTGCCCCGCACCCCTGATGGATGTTCTGAGCAGCAACTGCATTCCCCTTCGTAGACCCCCTAGAGAGGGTCATGAGGGTCTAACCCAGGTATGAGGAGCCCCAGCAAGGGAGGTCCCTGCTCCAAGAAGGGGGTGCAGGTGGTGAAAGGGGGAAACCACAGGGTGGAAGAAGTTTGATGTGAAACTTATTATGCGAGCACCGGACCCAGCCCTGAATGGAGAGTTGATGAGCGCTGGAGAACACCGGGGCCTCAGGTCGGTCAACATGGCAGAGGAGCAGGCAGGAGCAGAGAGGCACTGCTGTGTTGGGGGCGGATCCGGCAGGAGAGGCTGTTGCTGGGCAAGGAATAGGGCCCCAACCGGAGGGAGCTCAAGAAAAACCCACTCTGGAGAAGCCGAGAGTCTGAGAGCTTCAGGACACCCCTCCACCTCATATCTGGGGGCAGGAGACTCCCACCCTTGTTGGGATAAGGCAGTAGGAAAGTCTGTCCCCAGGCGCCAGGGGCAGAAATGAGGTTTGCTCATGAGGTTCTGATTAATTAGCACTCTTTTCTGGGTTTTAGCTCTGTGCGTGTGTGTGTGTGTGTGTGTGTGTGTGTGTGTTTCGTCTTATTTTATCATGCTAAATATATCATGATTATTTTATCATGCTAAACCAGGCTTGACCAAGAATTTTTCTGGACCAACTCGTCTTCATATCAGCCCATCTTTATTCATTCATTTTTTGGCAATTATAGTTTTAGAGGTAAAATATAGCTAAATATCAACTTAGATTGACAGCATTCTCTCACTGGAATTTTCACCAAGGGTGATAGACAGTTGCAGCTAAAAAGCATCTTTCCAGAACCTACCCTCACTTGGTGGTGGCATCCCCGGATCAGTGGTGTTGGGGATCACTCAGCACCAGATTTAGTTCATCTGGCTGTGACGTTCTCTGACAGCTTTAAGGGAAAGAGAAATTGTCTCATGTAGAGATGAGATTTTCCAGGCAGGAATTTCAAGTGGATTTTGCCCAGGGCTCCTGCATATTTCATGATGTGGGGCATGGTTTCTGGGACCAGGCCCGGGAGAAGAGAGGACCCACATGAGATTTCACGATGGGCCCTGCAGCAGGGTCAAGATTGGAATCAAACTTCTTTTCAAGCACAGACTATGTGGTCCAGCTTCAGGCCCAGGAGTCAGGGGCTAAGCAGGTGCCGTATTCCATGAGTCTCAGGTCCCTTGTTAGGGTACCTCTGCCACCAAGGAATGCAGGAAGGGGAGATGGGGTCCCATGGGCTGGTTGGGGCAGAAGGGAGTTGTGCACAGCCACAGCACAATGCCCATCCACACCCCCACCATCCACTGCCCCAGGCTGAGGCTCGAGCTGCTGTAGCCTCTAATGGTTCATGGTCAGCACTCCCTGAATCCCCTGTACCCCAGTCTTCTGTAGTGCTGCAGCCCAAGGAGAACCAGGCCAGGACCATTCATGCCCTACACTTAAAACCAAGTTTATCCTACACAGTGGCTGCAGGGGGAGGGGGGGGCGGCTTTTCCTGGGTCCCCCAAGGTTGTGAAACCTCTCCAGGTGAAAATCCCAGCCCCCCAGTACCCATTCCAGCCCCACCTCTATTGCCTGCTATAGAGAAAGCTGGTCTCCTCTCTGCTCCCCCCTTCCCTCCTATTGGTTCCACACCTGCTGGGGAAAGGCCTGTGTGGCCTCTTCTTGGGGGCAGCTGTGGACTGCTATGGGACTTCCTGGGTGAAGGGTCTCCTACCAGGACTTCATGATGTCCAGGATGGTGACCCCAGCTCATGTAAGCACAGCACTTCACAGTGTAGATCTCAGCCTTGTGGCCGCCCCAGGAAACAGATTATCCTCATTTCCTAGGTGAGGATGGTGAGACGGCAGTAAGTGGGGCCACGATGCTGGACTTGGCGTATTCCATTCCATGTTGAGCTGAGGAAGCCCCCTGGCAAGGTCTGGGGTGGGCAGAGTCAGGCTGGGGTCCTCTTAGAAGGCCAGCTCTGCTCTTGGGGGCTTTCAAAGCCTGGCTGCCTGACTTTGAGTCTATCTCATTGTGAGTGAATTAATTGTTGTGCAACCTAGAGTAGTAAGACAAGTTAATTACATAATTACTGCAAAATGACATGTTATTTCATGGCTGCAATATGGTAACTCTGTTGGAAACAATTGTAATTGCCCAGAAACTGCATTCGAGTGGCTCCGTTATCTCTCGATAACCATGTAATTAACTTGTGCTACAACTTTATCTGCAGCAAACTCTGAAGTTAGGAGTTGGGGCCCTTGGGATGGGCACAGCCATCCTCGACCTAAGGGCCCAGGGAGGGGCTGGCACTGGGGCCTCTGCTACAATCCAGGAAAATAATTTGCTTTTTCATGTTGAGCAAGGAAAATGCCACATGCGGACTCCAGCCCTCACCCTCATGCACTCAACTCATACACAATCTCACATGGTCACATACAGACAGCTCCCCAGTTTCGTGGGACTCATGCAAAAATACCCTCTGCAGCCAAAGGACTGGCTCTTTGCCTCTCTTCTCTCACGCACGTGGGTGCAGCTCCTTCACAGAAGGTGGATGCCCCAAGGTTGAGAACTCCTATCTCAAGATCCTTGGCCCCAGCAATCCCTTCTCCACGGACCAGACCACTGACCACAAAAGTACAATGGGGAGACGCAGCCTCCTCCAAGTGCCCACAAGAGCCCAGCCATCCTCTCGCTTCCCTGGAAGTGGAGGAGCAGGCCTGGGGGCGGCGTTATGGGAAGTCCCAGCCCAACCCTGCCCCAACCCTGGCAGCCAATTCTCTGCCCAGGAGCAGGCAGAGCTTGAAGCGGTGGGCTGGCTCCATCAGCCCTGGGCTCTGGTCCTCGGCCAGGGTAAAAACAGTCCCCCGGGAAGGAGGAGCGAGTGGCCTGACGGCGGAGGGAGCCTGTCCATACAGCCTTCTTTTTAACACTGTTCAGTGATACCTTTCCAGTTCCAGGCTCTGTGTTTGGCGCTGTGGCTGCAGCCAAGACCTTGACCGCATCCCTGCTGCCCTGGGGGAGCCAAGTTCAGCGGGCAGAGGGAAAACACCCTGGCGTCTGCTTGTCAGCTGCTGGTCTGGCTGTCTTCTGGCCTGAGTTGAGTGCCTGCCAGCTTGCCTGTCTGTCTGTCCCTACCTATCTCTACCTACACACCGGTCTACTTGTGTGTCCACCTTTCCTGCCTGCCAGCACATGTATCTGTCTGACTGAGTGTGCACTGGCTTGGCTGCCTCTGACTCTGGGCCTGTGTCTGCTGGAGGGAACGGGCCTGTTCAGGTCTCCCCGCGGTGTTTGTCCTCACCATAATGTGCTCCGTTTATTTCCCTGGCTTTCTCTATCCTCCTCAAGGCCATGGACTGTGTCCGATCCATGATTCATCCTCATGTCTGGTGCTTGCAGCATGGGGCTGAGACAGAGTGGATTAAGGTTTGCTGATTGAATGAATGAAAACCTCCACCTGTGTGGGCTGAGTTACAGGGCAACACGATTGTTCTCGCTCACCCAGAAGAGTAGAAAGCCAGGCCCCAGGTTGGGCCCCCGCTGCAGGGAGGAGACAGCAAACACTGCCCGTCACCCTGAAAGGGAAGAGCGGTTTAAGGATGGTACTCCCGTGGTAGGGGGCAGGATTTGGGCTCCTACTGTGGAGGAGGTCAGAGCTGGGTCCCTGTCCGGGCAGTCGGGGGTCTCAGTGGGGAGATGTAACACAGGAACCCAGGCAAGAGAGGGTTTCATCTTGCCTCTCTTCATCTTGGGGGCCAGGGAATATGCTCTGCCAAGGGAGGGGGAGGACACCCTGTTCCCACCTCTGGCTGGGGGTTGTCCCCATCCCTCCAGCTTCTTCCCCCTAAAGCCCACCTGGAGCTCCCCTGCCTGGTAACAGCACAGCTGGAGCCCCAGGCCCTGCTCCATGCCTGCCCCCACAGGGGCCAAGGGGAGGGCCCTGCCCCACTCCCAAGCAGAGGGGAGCGGCCCCAGGTCTGTGTCAGTCATGTGATCAACGAAGAGAAACCTCCCCGGAAACATTCATAAGTTTAATCCACGCCAGTAATAAAATCGCATTACATTTTTCATAAAATAAATGTTCCCATTTATATACAGAAGACAGACTGTACAGGCCCAGCCTGGCCCCAGGAGGGTCACACACAGACGGGCGGCGGCGGAGGAGGGGCCATCCCTCCCAACAAGGACAGAGGAGTTCTAATTGCAGGAGAGCGGCTGGCCGGCCAGGCGGCGGTGGGCGGGCGGGTGGACGGACAGACGGGCCTGGAGGCCAGGCGCCGGGCGTTACTGAACCTGGGATTCAAAGGTGCCATTGAGCTGCCCCTCCTCATAGTCCATCTGACACAAGATCATGTTGTTCTTCAGGAAGAATTTGTCTCCCACACAAAATCTGGAAAATCCAAGCAGGAAAGAGAGGCCATTGGAGGGGTCCCAGACAGCGGGCTCCAGACAGGACCCAGCCCAGCCCAGGAGGTGGACATGTGGGAAGTGAGGTTCTGGGGAGTTTGCTCCTGAACTTTCCAAAGCGGTTCCCCAAAAGTCCCACAGCAAACCTGGTCAGTCACCCCGGGTCAGCCCAGCCCTCAGCCAGGCCCTGCAGTCTGGGGTATAGGACAGACAGATGGACAGACAAGCCTGGGCTACAGGCCTTCCACAGCCAGGTCTCCATGGAGCTGGGGGCAGGGGTGGGGTTGGTGGGAAGGTGTAGGAATAACTTCCCTCATCCCAGAGAAGGAGAAAGAGAGAAGGACAAAGAAACAGGAAAAGACCAAGAAAGGAGAGAGATGGAGAGAGGGAGAGATGGAGAAGGCGGAATGGATAAAATGGTTGGGTTTTCATGCCTCTGTTCCCCTCTCCAACTTGAGAGGATGGCTCAGTGAAGGACACTTTTCCTCTAAACAGAATCTGTGGGTTTCCTGGAGCATCATCCCAGGAAGAGGTGGCCGTGTCCCACTATCTTCCCTTCTGCCCAAAGAAGGCCCTGCTTTGGCACTCCCCGCCCCCAGTCCTCCTCAAGTATTGGAGGATTCAGCACTTCCCCCAAGATGCCCCCAGGGTGGCTGAGGCCTTTAGTGGGACCCCAGGGTCACAGGCCCAGTCCCAGCACATCCCAGTCCAACCACCAGGTGGCGCTGCAACTTCACCGAGCCCTCTTAGCAGAGAGTCTAGTCAGAGCCCCAGCCAGACCAGAGTTCCCTGGAGGTCCCTCTGGACCTGACCCTCTGGGAACACTAGCATGAGTTTCTTCCTGACCTGAGGGCTCCTGAGAAAAGGGCCTGCCTTCTGGGCTAGGCCCCCAGCCAGGGCTGAAGGGCTCTGGCTCCTTAGGTCCCTGGGGCCTCCCACAGGGCTGGGGTACTGTGTAGCAGCCAACAGACCAGAAAGGAGGCTGGGCTGGAACCAGAACCACAGGAGTGAGTGGCCATTCTCCGAAGGGATTTCGCCCTCAGGTCTGGAACCCGTTCTCACTAGAGCGTACATGCATGCACGTGGCACATGCACAAGGGCATAGGGCACGCATACAGGGCCCTTGTACGTGCACATTTAAAACACACGTGCACGTGCATACTCAGCCATCATGCACACACAGCACACACATGCCCCCCTTGTGCATGGACATTTAAAAATGCACACATGACATGACTCTCACACTGTGCATACACAGTAAGCTCATGCAGGCCCCCATCTATTACCTTTACACAAACTGTGCCCTACAAACGTGCACCACACAGTATTGAGTGCACACATTTGGCTACAGGGCTCAGGCATACATAAAACATATGTACATACGTGCATGCTCATGACAACGTGCACACACACAACACACATTTGCATGCACGCCTCCACAGCACTCCTGGTCCGTCCCAGCAGGGGTCAGCTGGAGTCTGGTGAGGCGGTTGGCTCTGCCACCGATGCAGCACTCACCTCTGGTTGCAGAGCTGGCAGGCGAAGCAGTCAAGGTGATAGACATTGTCCCGGGCCCGCATCACCATCTCGAAGGCTGGGATCAGCTTGCTGCAGGCCGCGCAGTTTCCTGTGGTGCCAAAGAGCCTGCAGGGGAAGGGCACAGAGGGCTCAGGGGCCACCAAGGAGCTGGGGGGTGGGCAGGGGAATTGCCTCTACTCAGGGCCCCACCTGTCTCCCACCCCTGTGGGCTTAGCAGGTGGGTCTGGGCAAGGCGGTAGGAGCACAAACGGCAGCATCGAGATTCTGCCAAGAGATCAGGCCTCAGAGAAAATCGGCACATCCACCCAGGGAGGTGAGTGTAGGGGGCTCAGGGGTCGGTTGACACTGCCCACCCCCAGGCTGGGCTGCCAAGGCCCCCTCCCAGGTTCCCACCGGGATCCCCCAAGCACCTGGGGCCACCAGGAGGACACTGGGCTGGACCCTGAGCGAGGCCTCCAGATTCACACAAGCCCGAATTTAGAGGCAGTCAGCTGACCGTGGGCTGTGTGTTCTCACAAGTCACTGCGTCTCTCTGAGCCTCATTTATTTCAACTGTAAAATGGGGACCAAAATACATTCTTCACAGGTTTGTTGTGAAAACTTTTGTAAAGTCTCAGTAACAACTCATTCGGTAAACACCTCTGTATTTACCCTGCACCGGGCACTGTTCTAAGGGCTTTACAAAGATCAACTCATTTCATCCTGACAATAATCCTATGGCGGGGGGGGTGTCTTTTTCTGCTACCAACTCACCGTGTGACTTGCCTAAGTCCCTTTTTCCTTTTCCTGGACCTCATTTAATCCTTCTTTAAAATGGGGGTGTGTTCTAGATGATCCTGTTCAAAGATGCTTCTAAACCAGGACTGATGCCAAAAGCCAGTTCCAAGGACATCTGGCACAACGCCTCTTTGAGGCAGGCACCCTTCCTCTTAGCTGCTGGTTGCAAAGCTCTAGGGACAGGGAGCTCACTCCCCGCCATGCAGACCAATCCTTGCCTGGATGTTCCAATGGCCTGAGCCAGCCAGACTCCTCCTGGCTTCCTTTCTGCACATGGGCAGAGCAAGCCACAAGTGAGGCAAGGGGCCGAGAGGCGGCGGGAGGCCCCTCTAATCCCTGATTTGTCCAGTACAAACTCAGGCGCCTGCAGACGGCCTTGGCTCCATTATTCACCAGCCCGAGCTGCCTGGTGGCTCAGATTAAGGCAGACAAAGGCTGGGCCACAGCACCTGCCCGGCAGGAGGGGCCTTACTGCCCCCAGTCCATGAGCAGTGGCTGCAGAGGGGCAGGCTCTGGACAGCCATTCACTGGGGCTATGCAGATCAAGGAAGCCCCACCCCCACCCCACCCACTGGCCTACTTGGCCCCAAAGTCATTCCCTGGCCTCTGCTGGAGCCTGGAAAGATACCTCCATGCTCCAGTAGCTGGCAGGGCCCAGAATGCTGGTGGGGGCTTCCACTCTGCTGACAAGCCCATCCTGCACGGTGGTCCTCCCTCTCCAGGTCCTGTGGACTCATCAGATGGTCTGCCACCTCCCCTGGACCCGGTAGGCTCAGCCCCCAGTGATGTCCTAAACCTCTGGACTTGGAGGTCCCTTCCAGGTTGCTGAGGGGTCAGTCCCCAGAGCATCCTTCCTTAACCCCTCCTCCTGGCCCTGCCTCCCTCCTCCAGCCCCAGCCAGGAGCACTGAGTCACAGATCCTGGTTTATTGCACCACTTTTAAAAACTCCTGCAAAAGGCAGAAGTTAAAAGAGAAAGTGCAGGCAGGTAAATCTTAGGCTCTTCTGGGAAGTAGGAGAAACTCCGCCGATAACCCCACCCCCTAACATGCCCAGTCCTGAGCAAAAGAAGCACCACAAAGCCCTTGCCCCGACCTATTAATTAATGCGATGGGCCTTCCTTCCCCGTAAGGCCCAGCCACCACCCAGCAGCCTGCGTGGGAGCCAAATGCAAATGCTGGGTCTCAGCCAAGGCCCCTGCTTTGTGGCCTCCTTCCAGCCTTGCTGATGTCATAGATGGCCTAAGGGAGGGTTAGTTGGGGGAGGCAGCCCCAGGGAACAGGATCCAGGTTGTAGGGGAGGGTGGGTTAGGGCTCTGAGGAATGCGAGGCGGGGAAGCATCAGTCTTTTCACCATTCACAGAAGGGTAAACTGAGGCTTGGAGAAGGTTTGAAGCCAAAAGGCTCAGAGCTAGTTCAAGCCCAGGTCTTTAAGCTCCAACATCCGGGGTCTTTCTCCAGGGGTCTGGCCACCTGCCAGGCTCCCCAGACATCGGGATCTAATCTCAGGGCCCACCGACAACGGAGGAGCAGGGAAGGAGACTTCATCAGGCAGCAGGGGCCCAGGGAAGTCAGAGCCTCCCCACCTGCTCCTGGAAGCCCCTCTGAGGCATCCCCTCTCAGATTCCAGGTGGAATGGCTGGGTCAGAAGCATCTGGCAAAGGCAGGGGCAGAGCCAGGCTGGTGCCCTGGGGAAGCTTATCGCAGGTGCCCAACGGTTAAAAACGCCTGCCCAGGACCTGTGCTGGGCAATGAGTCCAAGGAGTTAAAGGTGGGCTCTGCCCTTGGGGGCTCCTGGGGCGTCTGGGGGAGCAGGGCAGGGGCGGGACGGTCGGGGAGGAGCAGACACAGGCGGGCACACGGGGTACCGGGTCTGGAGCAGGGGCAGAGCGCAGGCCTTGGAGGACGGGCTCTGTGGGCAGCAGGGCCGGGGCGGGCGGGCGGCGGCGCACCTCAGGTAGTCGCGCCGGCACAGGATGAGGTTGGCCTTGGTGTAGAGGGTGGAGCCCACCTCGCCCAGGCGGCAGTCGCAGCAGGCACACTTGAGACAGTCCTCGTGCCAGTACTTGTCCAGCGCCTTCAGCAGGTAGCGGTCCTTGATCTTGCGGTGGCAGCCCGCGCAGCCCTTCTGCTTGCCTTTGGGCTGGACGGAGAGCATTGGCACGCCTGCGGGTGGACAGAGGACAGACAGATGGACACAGGGGTGGCGCTGTGGCTCTAGGCCTCAGGGCACACACCTCCAGGGACGGAGCCCACTGCCTCTCCTGCTGCCCCTCAGGGTTGGGGCTCCAGGACCCCCCACGTTCTCCCCAGCGACCTCCTCCCCTGGCCCTGGTCCCGTCCTTTGGGCGGCACGGCACAGCCTGTTCCCCTGCCCTGTGAAGGTCCCTCCAGAAGCTGAAGGCGGCAATGGGGAGCCCCATGTCTGCTCTGCTGCAGGGCACACACGTAGTCCGGAGGACCAGCCCCCTGAGTTGATCCTCCCCATCCTGCCACTGCCCCCTGTGCAGTCTGAACCACAGTAGTCTGATCCCATCGGTTCTTTCAGCATCTCTGAGAACAGAATCTCAATGGGCTTGAGGTCCACTAGAACTCCCAGATCTTTTTGCCACCTCAAGACTTCCTCACACTGCTTGTGTGTTTGACTACTTTAACCAAAGAAGTCAGGCTATAAGCTTCTGGGTCTGTTCACGTAGAACTGTGGAGGTGTTAAGAAGAAGGTGAGGTGGCCCCGTGATATCCCCAGGAGGGAGCAGGCGCTCTGGAGCTCCTGGCAGGTACGTGCGGGAGGCAGCTGAGTCTGGCCTAGTTGGGGCTCTCAGGAATGCTTCTAGCTAGATTCAAACTTCCTACCTGCCCTGGCCTGAGGTAGGGGAGGTTCCGAGCCTCTGGATCCTTGTTCATCCCACCAGGACAAGAATCTCTGAGCCACTGGGCCTCTCCCAGGGCCCATATGAGCTTCCCAATGTAAAAGCAAGTGCCCAGTACAAAAGCCAGGAATCTCAGCAAGGCATTCACTGGAGGGAGGGCCAGACCTCCTAGCAGGCAAGCGTGTACACTCACGCACACCCCGTGCACAGAGGCACAGTGTACAAGCATGGGCTTGCATGTGCACAGAGGCATGGGCTCCTAGCTCCTGGCCCTGGGGCCACAGGGAGTGACAGTTGAGGAGGAGATGGGGAGAGACGTCGGGGAGCCTGGACATACACGTGGAGCCCTGAGGCTTGAGTGTGGTGAAGACTCGGCTTGGAGGGAAGCGAGGGAGGCTCAGAAGCCCCAACTTGGACAAGGGGTTGCCCGTGAGAGCTGCCTGAGAGCCCCTCATGAAGGCGGTGGGGGTCGGGGGGTGCCTTCCCTGACCAAGGCTCAGGTGGACAGAGAGGTGGACTCTGGAGGGAACAGCCCACTCCTTCCTGCCTCCCTGGCTTTCCCACAGCCCTGGACGTCTCCCCTCCTCCTGGCCCCATCCTCTCCAAGGGACGCCTGCACCCTCCAGGGCTCCAGGCTCAGTTCCTTTCCCTCCCTCCCCTCTCTGCCCCCAGCCCAGAGTCTGAGCTCTTCCTCTCCCTTCCCTCCTCCAGGTGTGACCCTTCCTCAGGCTTCAGTGGAGAACCAGCCTCCAAGGGGCCTCAGTCCCAGAATCCACAGATGTCAGGTCAGAAGGGCCCTCAGAGTTCCTCTAGGCAAATGCTCTCATTCCACAAATGGGGAAACTGAGGCCCAGACTGTCCGAGGTGCTAGTGTAAGCCACAGATAAGCTGGCCCCGGGGCCCCTTCCCTGCCTCCTGTGCTCCTTCTCAGCCTCACTGCCTCCTCAGACTTCTCTTGGGGAAGGGGTGGCCCCTGGGCCAGGGCGGCCCTCCAGAGCCCAGGAGCAGGGGGTCAGGTGAGGGCAGGGAGGAGGCAGCACAGGCTGCTGTGGGCTCTCTCCTTCCTCCCCCCTCCAGCCCTGCAGGGCTGTCTAATAGCTGGCAAGTTCGCTACCTAATTTTCTTAATGCAGTTCTAAAGGTTAATTGGTCTGAGAGAGTGATGGGGCTCAGGATGACTATGTCCTCAGGCCTGCCCGTGTCTCCTCCAGCAGGGTCCAGCCCAGTCACAGAGCTCTGAGGAACCTGTGGATGCCAGCTGGGGTGCAGGTACTCCTGCGAGCAAAGGGGGGCCTGTGGGCTTCTTCCAAGGCCTGACCTACAGGGAGGAACCAGATGTGGGCAAATGGGGGAGAGGTTAAGAGAGCTGGATGTGGGGAGGTCTGGGGGTCCCAGGCGGGACTATGGTCCCTGGGGCCTGTGGAAGGAGCACCCAGCCAGCTATGCTCTGCATATAAATACCAACTTGGAAACTCTCAGGCCAGGCCTCTAGCGTGGATCCACCAAGGCTGATTTTCGCCTTGCACACCTGGGCTGGCAGCAGGCCCGGCTCCCTTCCCCGCAGTCCTGGGCTCTCCCAGGCCTCTACACTTGTACTGTCACTGGCAGGGGTGTGGGTGGCTGGAACACCCACACTCAGGGGATACGCCAGGCCCACTGTTATACCCCAAAATGAAGGAGGATCCCAGCACTAGGAGTGTCTGTCCCGGTCCTTCTTCCATCTGGCTTGGCTCCAGGACAGGCTGGCCTTTCAAGCTCAGGTGCCAGCACGCCTGGCCACTGAGCCTGCAGGGCTATGAGCTACAGCACTACCCGGCAATTCCATCCTCAGTGGGACCTGGCACCTACAGGACCCAGGGAGGCCACGAGGAGTGAAGTCACAGGCTGCCCCAGGTCCCCCACCCCCTGCCCACACCCAGGCTGAGGCTGGCACACAGCAGGTGCCCTGTAAGCCCTAGGCACCCTGCTCTGGGGTGCTGCACTCTGCCTCCTGAGCCCTGGAGAACTCTTAAGAAGCCACGTGGCTTCTGCCAGTGTCTTGTGTCCACCAAGACAGGGAACGCCAGGGCCAGCCTGGCTAAGGAGGTCCCAGAGCTTTGGGGACCTTGAGCTTTCCCTGCCTGGAAAGGTTGAGATCCTGGGAGAAGTCTGACTCACCACTCCCTTCTTTAGGGAACACACACTGTGTTTGCTCGCACTGGGCTAGTCCGGGAGACTTGAAAACACTCCTGGAAAGGTGCGGCGGTTAAAGGAGGGGCATCTACGGTCTCCTGCTCCCCAAATGGAGCCATGCTCCCCAGAGGGTCTGGGCTCTCCCTCCCTGCCCTCCTCCCCAGCCCCCACCCAGCCCGCCAGCCGGCCCTGCAGACACCTCTCCGCCCCCCTCCCCTGCCTGGCTGTGGGAGCTGAGCCTCCGGCCATGTACTTTCCATTAAGGAGATAGCATCCCTTTGCTGAAGTCCATTTGGGATCCATTTTAGTGTTATCTAAAAATCAAATCTACATGGTAATCCTTTTAATGTACTCCTGACTTTAGAAAAAACCAGCTTTGCGCTCCTTCAGGAAAGGTTTTAAAGCATTACCCAGTAATTACTACTCACCCATGAAAACACTGATATTCGACAATGGATGATGTTTGCCCCTGCACACACTCCGCTCAGACGCACCCACGGGACCCGGCAAAATAAACCAGTTCACTCAGCCTGTGTGTTCCCCCCAAATCTCAGGATGGGGGTGACAACCTTTGAGGGGAGATAGGCCAGACCCCTACCCTGCCTCTACCCTGGGCAGGCTGACGGTGGAAGGAGGCAGCCTGGCAGTCTGACTCATCCGGCTGCCAGACTCTTACTCTCAGCTCTTTAATCTGAGGAATAGCCAGACAGTCCGGGTGACCAGAGGGACTGCCAGAGGTCATTCAGCTCTTCCTGCACCCTCCCTCCAGCCAAGAGAGAAGCCCTCCTCTTCACACGGACCCCCCAGAGTGGCCTGCCAGGCTAGACCCAAGTTCTCAGCAACTCCTGCCCACCTATCCCAGGCCAGGCTGTCCCTCAGATCCGGCACTGGACTTCTCCGAACTGCTAGGCCCCCCAGCTCCAGGTCCCACCCATGCCTCCAGTTTGGACAGCGGGCTGAGCCTGGTTGTGGAGCACTCTCGTCACCTCCCAGGGGGCTCCTCCAAGGCCAGTCCTCCACCCCAGAATGCCCGTCCCACCCAGCCCCAGGTCACTCCAGGCTGTGTCCTGTGGCTCCCCTGCTGGCACAGCCATTGTGGCTACCACTGGCAACTTCACCTGGCATTTGAGGCCCCCTCCCACATGCCAGCATGTCTACCTTGGCACTGCTGGATCTGCTCCCTGCAGAATCCCGGAATAATAGCCCTTTCCATCCTGCAAATGGATCTTGTTTGCTTCTCTGCCAAGGCCTTCACTCCACCACTGTTCCAGAAAGAAATGCCTTGTCTTGCCCATCCCACTCTCCTCAAAGGTCAGAGTCACAGTGGGGTTGAGGCTAAGAGCACAGACCTTGAACCCAGAGAGCCTACTTGCCAGTCTGGGAACTGTCCCAAGTAGCTGGAGGGCCTGGAGCAAATCCCCTCACCTTTCTGACTTGCATCTGTGAAACGGGGGCCACAAAAGTCTCTTTCCATGGAGACTGCATGAGGATAGAATAAGTTATGCATGTGAAGCCACAGCAGAGTCCGGCACCTGGAGGGGCCTATGAACAGGAACCGGAAGTAGTATTAACATGCCCCCCAGGACACCTTCCCGGCTCTGACACTTGTTTTCTTTTTCCTTTAATTTTTTTATCTTGACATAATTTCAAACATTCAGTAAAGTTGCAATAATAGAAAGAATTCCTGTATACTCTTCACCCGGATTCCCTAAATATGAACATTTTTCCACATGTGCCTTATCCTTCTCTCTCTATCTACCTACCTACATACCTACCTACCTCTAATGTTTTTCCTGACTCATTTAAGAGTTGGTTTTAGACATAAAGCCCTTATACCCCTTAATACTGTGGTATTTCCTATAGGCAAAGATATTTTCTCACACGACCACAGTACAGTGATCAAAACCAGAAAATTGTCATTGATGTAATACTATTATCTAATACACAGATTTCACCAATTCCCCCAATAATATCTTTTATGGCAAAATAAAATTCTGGATCATGCATTGCATTCAGTTGTCAAGTTTAGTCTACTTAAATCTGGAAGAATTCCTAAGCCTTTCTTTGCCTTTCAAGACTGACATTTTTGAAGAGTACAGGACAGTTATTTTATGGAATAACTTCA